GAAGGCACAGCAAAACCCACACAGTTGGAAAGACGCCAGGAACACAGATAAACCATGACAACACAGGATAAAGTCACTTTTGCACCCAGCAGCCTGCTGCACGCAGCCTGTCTTTCTTATCAACTGTCTTCCCAGCTGTGGCTAATGAAGGGAATCAAGGCCCACTCCTCCCTCGTAAGCCATGCAACCCACATTGCTCTCTTCTCCGTTCCTCCCTGCATGCCCTAGGATGAAGAAGGGGTGGGACTGGTTCTTCCTCTGAACTCCCTCTCCCTTGTTCTCTTTCTCTCCCCTGCTCTGCCCAGCCAGACTTTGCCCTTCCCCAGCCTCCTCCACAGCCAATGGAGCCACACTCCCACTCCGTCAGCTGTCTGGCTTCCTCCTCGGATTCAGACTCCTACAGGGGCATGACACAATCCTCAAAAGTTACAACTATTGAAGCAGCTCCATGATCACATTGTTGCATTAAAGGAGGGGTGGCGGCAATTGACTCACAGTTGCATGCAGCATCCCGTATCATGTGATCGCCATTTGCGGCCTTCCCTGCCAGCTTCCCACAAGCAAAGTCAATGTGGAAGCTAGTAACAGGTAAAGTCTCAAGTCATTCCTGGATTTTTTTTTCTCCTGAGGAGCCCTACCCACTCTCACACTGCAGCAACCTCCAACCACTGTGCTGGAGCTGGGGGCACCCACCTGCACTCATTTTACCTGTCCACTGGAGTGCATACAAGCCGTCGAAAGCAGGAGTTTCCAACCTTGGCCACTTTAAGCCTTGTGGACTTCAACTCCCAGAATTCTGGGAGTTGAAGTCCACAAGTCTTAAAGTGACCAAGGTTGGAGACCTCTGGTCTAAAGGAAGTCTTGCTCTGATTGGAAGTCTGTTGAGATTCTCAGTCATCCAAGTCATGGTTGTCCCTAAGGTGCTTTTCAGGAGGCAACTGGACTTTTTTCTTCTTTTTCTTCGTTTGAAGGATGTTTCACTTCTCATCCAAGAAGCTTCTTTAGCTCTGACAGGATAGTGGGGAATGGAAGGATTTACATTCCTTGCAGACAGCTGATTGGAACTTATCTGTACTTCTTGCCAGTTTTCCCCCTGACTTTGCTTGTTGGAGACCAGCAGGAAATTGCAAGTTGTGATCGTGTGAGGTTCTTTCTCAATAACCTGCGATCCTCACTTAACAACAGCAATCGAGACCGCCTGGATTGCCATTGCTAAATGAGGTAGTCACAATGCTTTACAACCACTAACATTTAGCAATGGAAATTCTGGCCCCAATTACCATAAAAGCCCAAAAGACTGCCTCTCCATAGGAATCTATTGTGGTATCTTTTTTCCCCCCAGTGTGTCTTAATGTATTTCATTTTCTGTAATAAGCCCAATCACATTATTCAATAATTCTCAGTTCATAGAGATAGAAACGTCATGCCACATCAGAAGAAAATACTGCCTGCATGATGTGCTTGTTTGTTCTCTGACCAGCATCTTCTCTAGATTTTTTTTTACCTGCTGTCATAGATGTTCTGTTTGGAAGAGGATAACGAAACAACAGGCAGATTCCTCTGATATATTTAGCTTCCCTGACTGGTTTTGAATAAAACCTCCCTCCAATTTCCCAAGAATCAGGACATTTGACAAACATTGGACCAATCTAAATATTTCAACACTTCCTCGCATATGCCCTCCAAAAATGGAACAGGATTATATAATCTTTTTGCCTTAAGCACATTCCCAAAACGTGAACCCACTAAACCAGTGATGAAACAGGCCGAACCGCACTTTGATTGTTTTCCATTTCATATGCACACAATAAACCCTCTTGCAGATTTCTAACATCACGATTCCTTTGAACAACAAAGACACTAAGTGGGGACTATAAATAGCTAAAACAGGACCATGGAGCAAATAGAAGAAATTCTTAACATTTTTTTAACAAATAAAAGGTAGCCAAACAAACAAACAAACAAACAAAATCCAACAAGGATTGGGTATGTTTAGCAGACTGGCTGTCACTGAAAAATAAAAGGAAAGGAAATTTAAAAAATGGGCAAGTATAGTAAACATTCCTTGAGGAAGGGTTTGGCTTTTCTAGTTGGTTGGAATCCTCGACAGGTGCATTTCAATATACTCCACCATATCGCTGCAGGTGATACTTGTATCTTTTTAATCTAAAATTGTTAAAGCTCATTTTTTAAAGCTCATGCTTTGAAATTAATTTTGAATCACATCCCACACCTTAATTGTGGGATGAAGTTTGAAAGCAGTAATGTTAAAAGATAATAATGGGTGGGTAGGTTGTTGGCCATTTTCTCTAAAACGGACAACATGTCAAATGATTGTGGAAAACCCTTCGCTGATTACAACTATGCATCTGTGTTATTTTTGCTAGCAAAACTGAAGCGGTGGGGGGGAAAAGGGATAGAAAACCCTGAGAAGCTGTTTCCTGTTCCCACAGAACTGCCGGCTGGCTCCTAGGAGGAGAATTGAAAATATGCAGGGATTTGGCATACTCACTGGCATGTTCTCCCGCCTGACGTAAAAAAAGTAGCCATAAAAGCTATAAGGGAGAGAGTTGGTTAATCCCAGAGTGAGAGAATAAGAATTTGCTGGCAAAAAAAAGTAAACCAAGTTAGAAAGAAGGAAAAATATGTTCTGATTCTCAGAAATTAACTCAGCTTTGGGAGAAGGAAGTTCCATTTACTCAAAGATCTCATTTCAAGGGCAGATCAACCACATAGCATCCCAAGGCAAGAGAGGGAACATGGTGAAGCCAAGTTCCAGTCCACCCTCAGCCAAAAAAGCTGACTGGTTAACTTCCAGTTGCTTACTTCTCAGCCCTTCCTACTGTTTGCATTGCTGTTATTATGGGGATAAATTAGAAGAGGGAATACCATGTATGAGGGCAAAGGTTCATTCTCTGAGCTTGTGGGTTGGTCTCCAAATGTTTTGTTACCAGGCTAGGTGTCATCTTCAGCTGAATTTAGGGTTCCTAAACTCTGCTGATGTTACCTGGCCTGGTAACGAAATGTTTGGAAACCAGCCCACAAGCTCGGGAAACAAATCTTCACTCTCATCCTACACCTGAGCTACAGATATTCGCCACTAATGTAATATTATGTATGTTGCACTGTACTCCTAAAAGAAAAGCAGGATATAAACCACACTAAATTCATAAATAAGACAACAGACCACCTCTTCTCTTCCTTCCCAATCCAGTCTGTGTTCGTCTAGGCCAGAGTTTCTCAACTTTAACCACATTAAGGTATATGATGCTGACTGAGGAAGTCCATGCATCTTAAAGTGGCTGAGGTTGTGAAATGCTAATGTAAACTATTTGGAAAACTTGAAAGACTTTAACCTATTGTTATGAACAGTAGTCGCTCCTACTAATCCTTTCCCAGACAATATCTGCCATATATTTGTCTAATTCCTTCCCAAAACAATGTAATCTGGAGAACCTCAGTATCTGTCCTTAACTCAGATTCCAGACTGAGATTCTTATGCTGTAAGAAAAAAATATCCATCCTGTCAACCTAATTGCATCTATCAAAATCAAATTTTGAATTGCAGAGGATGGATGGGTGGTCTCTTGGTTTGGAATGAGTGGTGGTCTCAAGATTTCACTCAACTGGCCCAATGGCAGCAGGTTGGAAAAACCATCAGGAATATCTGATCAGGAACAACACCCCGTGATAATATTCTGCGTCAGCGGCACCCTGAGAAGTATTTTTCCCATAGGTAATGTCTGTAAATATGTCCCAAATATCCATCCACTACATGGAGGAGGGGCTAAATGCAGGCCAACCTGTGGGGGGGGGGATCTTTTTTATTGGGAGAGAAGAGACATCCTATGGCAGGGGACACCCCACCCACCCCAAAAGAGCAAGACCACAGGCCTATAAATCCTGTGCTTCACTCTGTCTGTACTAACACAACCCATCTATTTCTAAATTCACCCAGGATCTGAATCCACATGGAGTCATCATTTAACTAAGCAATCTGGGTTGCACACCACACAAGCTGCAAAAAAAAAAAAAATAAGGTTAGCATTAACCACATGTTGGGGTGTAATGCATCTGCTAGTCCTTCACTGATCCACTGATCCAATTAAGGGAATTGGGTGAAACAGCTACTGTGAGTATCATCAAAAGCTTTGCATACATCACACCTTAGCTCAATGGTCAAAAGGCCTATTGAGATGGACCGGTATTCTCAACCCATTTCCTGCAAGCTATAAAGCTGGGCCAGCGAGGGTGGGATGAGATCAGATTTCCTGCCACGGTCTCTAGATTCCCACCCACCCCCCGCCGCCCAAATTTCATCAAATTCGAACAAGGCTCGTTTTGGATGCTCGCGCGGAAAAAAGTGAAGCCGCCCCCCCCCCCCCCCAAACCTGCGAAGCGTGCGGTCCAGGCTTACAAGGAAGGAACGAAGAAACGCGACTTCCGACCTATGCGCCGCTGCCTCCTTCGCTTACGTAATGGCCCGATTATTATTTTTTAAGGAAAAAAACAAAACAAAACTCGGTACACGCTCAGACGACCGCTATCCTCCTGCGGGATCAAAACTTCCACGCCTTCCAAAAAAGATGATGATGATCGCTTCCAAACGAAATCTCAGGAGAAACTTCTGGGCTGAAAAAGCAGCAGCAGCGCCTGACTTTCTCCCGCATCGCCTGTCCGCCGATTCTCCCAATCGCCGGTGGTGACACCCGGAACCGGGGTGAAAGAAGTGCGGGCCACTCCCGGCCCTGCTTAGACCCAAAAGCATCCTTTCCCGGTTGGACCCCCGGGGGTGGGGGGAGAGAAAGCACGAAGCAACCGGCCCCCGCCAACGACGCGCAAAACCATGCGCGCAATCCGCCTTTGGATCTCGGGGGGGGGGGGGGGGGGGCGGAGGGAAAGGACGGCGGCGCATTTTGCTGCGAACCGTAACTGCAGCTTGACTTCCCTGCCCGGCCTCCCCCACGGAAGACGCCCCCACCCATCCCCACCTGGCTTACCCGCTGCAAGGGCAGCAAAGCGGCGGCTCCAGTCCTGCCGCGCAGCCAGGTGAAGCTGTTCGCCTCGCTCCGTCCCTCTCAGGCCGGGCGCAGGATTAACGGAGCCTTTGCAAGGCAGGCATGTGACTGGGACCGGACGGGAGGGGGAGCCGCGAAGCAGCACCGCAGCGGCAGCAGTCTGGAGGGAAGAGCTGCAGTTCTCCCTGAGCTCCAAGGAGACACACCAGCAGGATCCTGCTAACTTCTGAGCCTTTCCCACCTCCCACCCCATACACACATACACACCTCCGGCGTCAGAGAAGTTGTAAAGGGCAGCGCCTCTGAGCATGTGCAGCGTGCCTATGGCACCCTCCGAGCCAGAAGCCTGTACAGGAGGAGCGTGATTCCGGAATTGTGCAAGGCAAGCTTCGGGGTGTTTCCATGCATCATTGGAAAACTGCACTGTAAAGGTGCCGTGTTCTCACAATAGGCCAGGGGTCTTCATACTTGACAGCTTGAAGACTTGTGGACTTCAACTCCCAGAATTCCTCCTCCAGTCATGTTAGCTCAGGAATTCTGGGAGTTGAAGTCCACAAGCCTTCAAGCTGTCAAGTTTGAAGACCTTTGCAATAGGCTCTTAACCCCCATCACTTTAAAGCAGGGGTCCCCAAACTTAGTAACTTTAAAATTTATGGACTTCAACCCCAGAATTCTATGCTGGCTGGAAAATTCTGGGAGTTGAAGTCCACAAATCTTAAAGTTTCCAAGTTTGGGGACCCCTGCTTTAAAGGAACAAGTTTGCCTAATCAAAATAAAGATGCAAGAATACAAAGGTGTGTTTTTTTTTAAGGTTGGTTTTGTTTCGCCAGTGTTTCCCTGAGTATAAGCAAAAAGTATATTAAAACTGGAACATTCTGTTTTTAAAATTGTCAAAAACCTCAGAGGCTTAAAAAAAGCTGTGTAAGATTGTGGCTCTGAACAAGGGCAGACTATGGCCTGAGTTTCCAGCAGTAGATCTGCTTTCTATGCCGGCATTCATCTCGAGTGGCTTGATGGATGAATAATGAGGGCTTCTCTAGACGTGTGAGGAATGCAGAATTTTCTGATTCTCAGGACTTGCTCTAGGGAACTGAATCTGACTCTGAATGTCACCTTCAGAAGTGTGTTAAGTTAGATCTAAAAAATAGGAATCTTAGAACCATCATTCAGCCTGGAAAGGTTGTTAAAGAGAAACAATTCCCAAATGTACCCTGTTTCTCCAACAATACGGCCTCCCCCAATAGGAAGTCCCAGCATGTTTTATAGGCATGAAATGAAATTAAGCCCCTCCCCCCAAATTAAGGCCTATATTAAAACATGCGAAATGGGGGGGAAATGGCGGGGGGGGGGGCTTGCTGTTAGGAAGTACTTTTGTTGCACACCCAGATATGGTGCTGCCTGCATTGACCCTGATACAAAGTGCCCCACCAACACCGATATCAACCTCCAAGCCATCGCCCCCCACCTGCCCGAAGATGCAAAGGGGGGGGAATTAAGTCACCCCCGAAAAGACAGCCTAGCCATTTTTTCGGGGCTCAAAAAAAATAAGACCCGGCCTTATTATATGAGAAACACAGTAGAAATGCACTCATTTAGAAGTACAACTTTGGTTTCGCTATCAGAAAAGAAAATACATATATACTGCTTCAGCCACTGGACACATTTTAGATGCATGACTGGGAATCCAGGGCACACCCAAATTCTCAGTACAGATAGTCCTTAACTTAGGACTGATCATTTAGCAATTGTTCACAGATATGATAGAACCAGCTACTTACTCCCCAGTTTCGAAGTTACAATGGGCTCAACTCTTCCCCCACCCTTTGCCCAAATCCAGTTACATGATTGTATTTTGGGTGCTTGGCATCTGGCTCACTTAACGGCCATTTGTAGCATCCTGTGATCATGTGGTTGATTTTCGTTATTTTTTTTTTAGTTTCCAGCATTTAATTCTGATTTTCTGCAAAAAAAAATGCCCACTGAGTACAATTTGTTGCTTATGCCCATTGAGTACAACTTATTTGCTTATTGACTGTGCCGTTCACTAACAATCATGGCATTTGCTTAATGATTGCCACAAAAAATGTTGTACAAAATTTGTTTTTGTGGACATTCATTTAAATAACAGCCAGTAGTGTGCTGCAGCTACCAAAAATCCAATACAGTTCCAGGCTGCATAAACAGAGGGATAGAATCAAGATCACGTGAAGTGTTAATACCACTTTATAATGCCTTGGTAAGGTCACACCTGGAATACTGTATCCAGTTTTGAGCAGCACAATGTAAAGAAGAGGTTGAGACTCTAGAAAGAGTGCAGAGAAGAGCAACAAAGATGATTAGGGAACTGGGGGCTAAAACATATAAAGAACAGTTGCTGACGACAAGAAGGACTAGGGGTGACATGATAGCAGTGTTCCAATATCTCAGGGGCTGCCACAAAGAAGAGGGAGTCCAGCTACTCTCCAAAGCACCTGAAGGCAGGACAGAAACTAATCAAGGAGAGAAGCAACCTAGAACTAAGGAGAAATTTCCGGAGAGTTAGAACAATTAATCAGTGGAACAACTTGCCTCCAGAAGCTGTGAATGCTCCAACACTGGAAGTTTTTAAGAGGAGATTGGATAACCATTTATCTGAAATAGGATTGGGTTTCGTGCCTAAGCAGGGGGTTGGACTGGAAGACCTCCAAGGTCCCTTCCAACTCTGTTATTCTATCTCGGTACATTGTATCTGGTTCTGTTCACATTGTGACCCACTTAACAAACACAACGACTTACAACTCTAATTCTGGGTTCAGTTATGATCATAAGTCAAGGACTATTTGTATAACAAAGCGAACAGGAAAGACAGGAAAAAAATTCTGAGCATGCAAACAACAAGCACTCCATGTGTACTGCAACCTAGAATCAGGAGATTGGAAAATAAAAATAAAAAGGAATATAAAATGGGGAGAGGAGAAGCTTCCACCCCAGATTTCAGAAGTTTGAAAGAAAGAGTCTTCAATCTTGTTCAGAATTCTAAGATTAATTTCAACCATGTACAATATATGCACATGAAAGAAACTATTAGCAATGCTTTCAACTGTTTGGAACAAAGGTTTTGGTAAACTGTCTTACAAATCAGGGACTTGGGCAATTGTGGCCATATTGTACTTGCAAGAACTGAGTTATAAAATTAAATCAAGGATCAAGGTAAACTTAACTGGGACTTTTTCTATGCAGGCACATAAAATTCCACAAAATTCCTATTTCATTTGAAGGTTATGTACCCTATAAATCTTAATGTAATCATCTTTTAGCTTCCTGGTAAATAGCCTCAGTATCTGCTCAGAATGTGAAGAGAAGACTAAAACAAAATTAGTGAAGAAAAATATTAAATATGATTGGCTAGTAAGACTGACTCCAAGTTTTAATACACAGAAAAGATATCAAATTGAGCAAGGTCACCTTAACTTGTAAATAGATTCATAAAACTTTTGTTTTTCTTTTTTAGATCTGGCCTATCAAAGCAGCCTGAACTTAATAAAGCTATCTCATTAATTACATCATTATTGCACTGTTTGCTTTATGTATGTGAGCCTATCTGAATAGGAAAATGTCAAAACATTAAAACAAAAATATTTTCATAAAATGAAAACAAATCTTGCAGAGATTTGATTTTGGATGTGAGCAATCTAACAATGTAGGTTTAGCACAATTGTTTTGAAAATGGAGTTGCTTTTCTTTGAATTTACTGTGGATTTAAAAAAAGGGGGTATACCTTGACCTAGTTTGGTGGTTCTCATGGAGGGGGGGGGATGCAGTGTTGTCACAGGGGGCCAGCAAAGGCTTGAAGAAATGCAATGATTTAAATTTTGAGTTAAATCTTGGGGTGGGTGGGGCCATGGCCACAAAAAGCGGCTTGTGGTGAAGAAAAGAAGAGTCTGTCTATGGAGATTCTCAGTCACCCAGGTCATTGTTATGCCCAAAGGTGCTTTTTTCAAGAGGCAACTGGACTTACTGGTTTTGCTCAGAGCTGAAGAAGCATTCTTGGATGAGAAGCGAAACCACTTCAAAGAAAAAAAAAGCAGAAAGTCAAGTTGCCTCTTGTAGAAAAGCACCTTTGGGATCAAAGAGCAATATTCTGCATCGGATGAAGATGGTGTCCTGAGCGTAATCTCAACACCATGAAAGTAGTGACGGGGATAACACACTGTAAATATCAGAGCAAGCTCTGATGCGGATTGCTTGCAAGAGAGGCATCCCTTTACAAGTGCTTGGAACAGGGAAGACCATGTAGTCTACAAGGGCAGCCTCCACCACCAAGGAAATCAATGTAGAAGAGTGAAAGGGAAGTTGTGTGCTTGATGTTGAACCTAGCCAAAGACCTTCAGCTCCATAATTCTCCTGCAGCAGATTGAGACGAACAGGCTGGATTCACACATCATGGCAAGCTACGGATTCTTTGAATTGCAACTTACAGGAATCTTGGCCCACATGGAGTTTTATTTTTATTTTTAAAAAGCATGCCCACCCCCTCCATCACAAAGGTGTGCATTGGGGCAGGATGATACCGGTTCTACAGAGCTGGTAGCTCTGAAGAGCAGCAGACACCAAACCGGTTCTGTGTTTGCTGCTGTTTGGCCCACCCGCCCGCCTGGGCTCTTACCTGTCCTTTATTTCCTGTTTTTTCAACCTCAGCTGCTTTGCACGGCACAGCTGAGGTTGAAAAAGCAGGAAAGAGGACTTTGCGCAGCGCTTTTCAGCTGTCTGGGCGGCACAGCTTAAGGGTGTTTTACACGCACAAAACATAGTCACCGAACCAGTAGTAACACCGGTTGAATCCCACCTCTGGTGTACATCCCCAACTGCAGGTGTAAGAGGCTTAAACCAGCAAAGATTTTGACAAAGAGTTTGGCCAGTGTTATTTTCCACTACAGGCAACCCTCAACTTATGACCACAATTGAGCCCTTACGTTGCTATTTGCTAAGTGAGTTTTGCCCCATTTTACGACCTTTCTTGCCCACAGTTGTTAAGTGAATCACTGCAGTAGATCAGTTAGAAACCCGGTTGTTAAGTG